CCCGTGGGCTCAGGCAATCCACTCACCTCAGCCTCCCAAAGCACGGGATTACAGGCTGAGCCACCAAGCCCAGCTGGCCTTGACAATTATAAACATAACCTTTTTTTTCATAAGTGCTGTCAGTTTATAACAGAAATCATTTTGTATAATGATGATTGTTACAGATTTTGGCGAGCTCTCCTGTTTTGTATGCAGTTTCTTTAAGGCAAGAAACCAAGCATCAACTTAAGTCATTTGTTTAAGATGGATGTTATGGGTCTCACAGTTCAAGACTATAGGTATGTGGGAGACAACACATAACTCTTGAATAGATGGATGATGCTAAGAAACTGGAACAACTTTACAGTTTCGTTATTAGTAACTTTTCTGAAATCTTTTTTAAGATTTATTAAGGTTAGTCTGATAAAATCTAAATGTGGATAAATAGATATTAATATGTGAAACAAATAGTTTTAAATGTTGTGCTGGCATAAAATTATTTGGTGCTCTTAAACTAATGAATATTTACTTATTATCAACTATTCATAGCAAGTAAGCGAGTTGCATCATAAAGCAGCAGCCACAGAAAGCACATATTAAATCAGTAATTATTCTGACTATTGTGACATTGACTTCTAAATTAATGACAAAAAATTTACTTTTTTCTTTACAATAGTTTAATTACTTTTGAGGCCCAAAAGTAATTAATTGCTTATTTTATTTCCAAAAATGGTAAAGTCAATTGAAATATAATCTGATTCTAAGTAGTTATTTAAATGGTCCCAAAAGACACATAGGAGAGATGACATGATCCCTCCACTTACTCAGCATACTGCTGCCATCCAGGACATTTGTGGCTGAAAGATCCAGAGAGTTAGGCCTCTGTGCTCTTCTGGGTTTTGACGGCCCAGGATCTGCTACTGTGCTTGGAACACCCTGTGTAAGAGTATCTTGTTCTGAACATGGATTGCTGTTGTTGTTATTGGAATTAGTTCGGCCACCTTCTAGAGGCCGTTCTCTTCTGTCCACAAGACGATCCAGAACACCTTCATCTTGGCCAGCCTGTTGCTCTCGTCTCAGTAAAGGTTCATGTTCATCAGGACTGGAATTAATATTCAGCCGGGTGTCCTCACCAATAAACTGATTCTGCAGCATTTCTTGGGCTCTGTGTGCCACTATGTTAGTGGTCTGGCCAGATGGTATCGTTCCATTGGCATACTGGGTTGTGGCAGCATGAGAATTAACACTGTGGTTTCTACCTGCCACACCATTCATGGTGACTGTCACCACATGAGGTTCTGCCGCATTGATTGTATTCATCTTGGCAACTCCAGTTTCTACTTGTTTCAAGTTTGATTTGTGCTTGCTGCCAAATTTTAGCCGGGGCTCCTTTGTTGAATTTTTGGTGTTTAAAGGCAAAGTAGTAGGTCTTTTAGGAAGGTTCTGTTGCTTGGGGAGAGGATAGATCTGAGCAGGAAGAACATCAGGAATTAGACATGCTTGGCCATTTGCAGCCTGTGTGTAGTCCTGCTGTCCAGTCACTTCTACTGCAAGTTTTATGAGTGGGTAAAGCAAGCTAGAACTAGTACTACTCAGTGGGTCTGGCCCACTGAACTGCTTAAGAGAATGCTCCATGAGATTCTCATCAGAACTTTCCTTGAGGTTCTTATCAACTTCTTTTGGGTCTAGCTTGTTGGTCTCTAAGTCTTCTTCTGTCAGCTGTAAGCAGACAGGGGTTGGCCCAATGGACTGTGCAACATTTGTGGCATGTAGATTTGTTTCATCTGGATATGGCATCTCAGATATAGTGGTCATGCCAGTACTTGGAGTGAGGCCAGTGGTGTTTGTGGTTGTGGTGTTGGTGGAGAGGCTGGTGATGCTTGTTTCAGGGCTAGGGATTCGAGCTTGTGCTTGTTGACGTTCATAATTAATTGAGTTTCGGTTCTTTTCTCCTATAGTCAAAGGTGTGCTGGACATTGAATGCTCAGAGGAAATATTCTTCACAATGCTGTCAGTGTGATGGATAGAGTCTTCAATGTATGAGGAGGAAGAATAATCTGGATAAGGACCAATTTTTGGCACACGCCTATTATGTGACAGGTTGCTTAAAGAAAGAAAAAAAGTGTTACACTGAGATTATACATTTATGACAAACTGTCTCTTGAAGTTTAACACCTCTGATTTAAAAGTCTGAGCTGCTTTTCATTTTATTCCTAACTTGTATTATTTTAGAGGTTACTTTAAAATCTAATCAAAGAACCAAGTGTCAAAAACTTGATAAATGCTTGTTTTGTATGAATGAAGCCTATTGAAAAATCTATGTGGATCTAGGTATGATTTTTTATAAATGTGCATTTTGTTTATAACAATCAATTAAAAAGTCTCCCTACAGTTTTATAATATCACTAAATAAATCTTTATGAACTATATATATTCATATAATCAGAAATGTACAAACAGACATTACATTTTATGAGATGAGGAACTATAGCATATGTTTCTTTTGTACTCCCATAATTCTAGATACATAGTGTTCATTCAACAAGTATGTTACCAAATGAGTAATATGCGGCCAAATGGTAAAAATAACATAAGTTTCTGGGTTGTTCCAGAGTGCCTCCATTAAAAGGCATAGTCTAGCAATGGAACATCTTTCTGGGGGTAGTCGGAGCCATAGCAGTAAGTCCTTGAGCCCAGGGTATGTGACATTCAGGGTAAGGATCAAAAATTCAAAACTGCTTTTCAAGCCAGGCTCGGTGGCTCAGCCTATAATCCCGCACCTTTGGGAGGCTGAGGTGAGTGGATTGCCTGAGCCCGCGGGTTCGAGACCCGCCTGGGCAACTTGGTGAGACCTCATCTCTACAATAAATCAAAAATTAGCCGGGCG